AGGTATAACATAGTAACATCTTACTTTAAATTTTAGAATATTTTATAGATTCACCATCATAATTTGAGAAATTTATGCAACTGTTTTCTAGAGGAAAATATGCTCATAAAATGGAATTTTAATTTAAAATATTTAAATTACACCATTGAAGAGTTTATATCAAGCCTAGGCAGAAAATATTGGATATTTATGGCAATGTTTTTCATTATTTGGGGTTATTTGTTCATAAAGCGGTAGTTTTAAAATTCTTAAGTTTTGTTTGTATAGTTAACACTTCTCAGGAAAATAAATCATATACATGATTTGTATTTAAAACACAGCATTGATTTCTAAGAAATTGTTACAGTTTAAAAATGAAATACCCGGTTGGATTGCAAACTGTTGCCATTAAATTATTTTTTTAAAAATCACAATTACATAACAGCAAAATATTAACTAGGAATGGGAAGAACTATCCTTACCAGGTTTTCATCTTTTACCTATAGGAAGTTAATGATAGAGAGCAGAACAAACGCATATCCATACACCATAAAACACACTACAAGAAGTTGGCTTTTGAGATTTCCCAGGGAGTGGGGAGTACATTGTTATGAACGTCCCCGAATGATGCTTCCTGGGATACCTTATAAATAATTACTTCCTCTATTTATATTGAAGTATCATAGCCCATGTTAAAAGTGAGAGGTAGAAGGATTATTGTAAGTATGCATGGCAGAGAAATTACCAGCTATATCCAATAACTATTGCATTCAATATTAATAATCTCAATACATAAAAATGCTGATGATTTTAGAATTCATTCATTTATGTTGTCCCCTTTAACTCTCATTATCTTGTGGCTTCCAATCCATTGCCTTTGGAAGGGTATAAGTGCAAAGGGTACGATTGGGTTGCAACAGGGAGATAAAGGAAAGTATAGAAGAGAGAAAAAAAAAACATTAAAATGTAAGTGTCTTTAAGTATTAAATGTACTCATGTTCTTTGCAAGAACTTATAATCAAAGCACATCAATCTATTAAAGCACAGACATTTCAAAGAAAAATTTAAGAATGTCAAATTCAATTAGATATGCACCAAAGTTTAAAACTCAAGTTATTTCTCTCTAGAGTAATGGTAAATACTAAAACAAATAATTTTATTCAATTATCTCCATATTTAAATAAGAAAAAATGTAACTTGTTGCTAGTGCTTTACTATGTTAGATATGAAGATTAGAAAACTCTTGGATCTTGTTTAAGATTCTTAAATCCCTTTGCATTAAGTATCCAGCAATAGAATGACAGATATTGCACTGATTACATTTCAATATTGCCAATGTATATTTCAAAACAAATTATATTATCTACACTAAGTTTTCCTCTTTCCCAGTATTCAAAATGCATATTATAATTACATGGGTTTCCAACATCCATACACAGCTAGTACAAGATACTTACATGTACATACACTGTAGTTACCTATATTTTGCATAGTTTTTAGTGTGTACTTTGTGCCACTTAACAAAAAGCATTACTCATCAATAATATTTATTAGGTCTTTCACTTATTCCAGCTGTGATTACTGGTGAAACATTTCATTTTGGGTATTCATCACATATTACCATTTGCAATACAGTATTGGGCATTTCAGAAGGCTCCAGTAACTATAAATACCAAGGGAAAGTTGCAGGGAGTTATGAAGATTTGCACTTTTTCCACAGTTTTAAAAAACGATGTGGAATTTTATATTTTTAGTCTATTAAATTATACTTATGTACAAAGGGGCAAGGAAGGAAAAGCATTTTTGAGTCCCCATTGGTAACACTTTGCAATAAGTGGCACTAAATTACACGATAACTGCTATGTTACATGGAAGAGCCATCACTGTCAAAGAGTTGCTGTACACGTGCCTATGTGGAATCTCAATGTTGTTACAGTCATGAGTACATAATTACAAGTAAGCCTGTTTTTTAATTGAAATATTTATATTTTTACAAAAAATAAAATAAATGAGGTGTTAGTTTCTTTGCCATAATCAGGAAAGTTGGTTTTCTTTCTCTATTTGTTATTTTTAATTGTAGAGTTTTTATGAAAGACTAAGCATCTTGAATAAATATGAGCTCATCCAGTTTCTAGATTAAATTTCAATATTAGGTTCTTTAAATTGCTTCTTGAAATTTCTGGTAAAAGAAAACAAGTTGGAATTTCTTTTTATGTGTCCCTTTCAATATCTCTTCTTCTCTTACACACACAGACACACACAGACACACACACAGACACACATACACACCACTATTCCACTGGGCCTTTTTGTCTTTACTCTTGCATTCATAAACTTTTCTTCTTTCTATTTTCGATCACCATTCTTCCTAGGACATTCAAAAATGGAGAAGAGGAAAAGAAGAATGTTGCTTAGATATTTTTGATGGAGGACAATCAATTTACACTGTAAACATTTAACTGGCAGAGTAGAGCTTCTTTTGGAAAAGAATGGTACTCCATATTCTTTGAGGTTTTGTGTGTGTCTGTGTGTGTGTCTGTGTGTGTGTGTGTGCACTCTTTCCACCAAGTCCCCTACCTACTGTGCTCACTTAGCAGAGACAGAAAATGCCTTCATGTGCATGCAGGCGTGCATATTTCAGACTTCCAAATTGACGTGTGTTCCATTTAGAAATCTTTTTTTCTGATTATCTGGAATAGAGAGTGTCCAGAATTTTTGTTACTTGTTTTTCTTTTAGTTAAAATCAAATAAGTTTAAAGTGCAATTCTACCACTATTTTTTTCTGTTACAGAAATTACATTTAGTTCAAATAGAGGCATGTTCAACTAGAAGCCATTTGATGAGAGCCCACAGATTTCTATCTGCCAGTAATTTTTTTATGAGTTCTTATGAGATTGTATACTACTCTGAGGGGTTAAAAGAGTCAAAAGTCTTGAAATACAAACAGTTTTGGATTTCTAATTTTACAGTGCTATAAATGATGATTGGGTTGTTTAGGGAACAATTTTAGCAGTTGGAGCCAAGTAGAATATAGATGAAATGAAGAAGGATGTAAATACAGCATCAATGAAGAGTAGCAATTTTGTAAGTGCATCCTGGAATTAGGCTTTAAATAGTAATTTTTGATGCAGTTATACAACCTACTTCAGCAATAAGAACCTTTCCGTTTTGTACTAACAGGATGAATTTCGCTTCGTGGAGTCTTCATAAAGATTATGCATTGAAAGGTATGAGCAGTTTATTAACCTATTCTAGTTTCAATGTGTCTAGAGGCACCTACCTGATTCTCTCAAACTACCATACTATATTAACATATTATTGCATTTTTCCACAGATGGTATGGAGTGAATTGTAAAAACAAGCATGCAATCACATCAATGCAGACTTATTTCCTTAAAATATCATACTGTATATGATTTATTATGTTAACACTCAACCACATCATATTATTTATGTTCTGTATATTTTGAAAAAGTGCTGCTTGACTGACATCGTCCTTTTTCTTTTGTAAGAAATCAACAAGATAAATGCTTCAACAATTAAAAAAACTGGAAGATTCTAACATTGTCCTTAAAGGATTGATAATTTTCTGATAAATAATTTAAGATACAGCACCCTTGTCTATCATTTGATATTAATACATGATGTTGTACTCAACCATTCTCATTTCCCCCCGAAAAATTTCAAGATATTTTTACAACTTGAGGTCACCACGCTGTCAGACATCACAAAGACAGCTTACCATATTGTCATTTGTTTTCTTCTTAAAGGTGCAGTGCTCATAAATGGGAAAATAATTTTTAATCTAACTGGATTTTTATGCTTTAGCTTATAATAGATTTAATGAAAACTATTCTAGCAATATTATATCTCACTAGAAGAAATAAGACTTTAGGTTGACTCTGTGTCATATTTAGAATACAGCATTTCATAATAGTTAAATACACCAAAATTTCAAAATAATCCAGAGAAAGAGACTTTCACCTTGGAGTTAAAAGCATGGCAGGAATTCTCTATCACTCACTGTTTCATAAGTTTGTACCTCACAGAATGCATAGACAGGAATTTAATATAAAGAATTAGTTCATTTATACAGAAAACATATCCTAAACATTTTTTGGCAAATCAACATAGGTAAGCAGCTCTGGAACTGCTAAATTAAAGTTTGTAAGTATTTAACAAATGAAGAGTTTGTTTTTAGGTTATTATTCAACTGTGGTTGTGATTTAAAACCTGAGGCTGTGCACTGGTTGTTAGCTTAAAATACCTTTCCTTATAACATTGTGCTTCCATTGTATAACAAATAAAAATTAACAGGAACTAGAAAAATTTGTTGTTGACAGTGCTAGGACATACAGACAAAAATACTAATACATGTTATCTACTTATAATATCGGTTTAAGTAATATCTAAAGGGATATAATGGACATTAGAAAATGCATACTTATGACTGAATAGCCTACAGCCAAAAAAGTTAAATATGTATCAAATAATGTTTAATTGGATTTATTATATGCACTATATACAGATACTAAAATGTCTCAAAATTGTGCCCTACTTCAGTTTTGTTTAGGCAGGTGAATCTTTATGGAGCAAATAAATTATAGAATCAAATAGAGACATGAATGAAATCTTTATGATTCCCAAAATAGTTAAATGTTTGTAATAATTTATTGGCAAATGAAGCTACAATAACCTAATGGTAGTATCTATATCATAATATAAGGTGGCATGTCATGATTAGAATCCATACACATGGCTCTGTATCAAATACTACATTTCTAAATAGCGATTTGATACAGTATTACCAGTATAATCTCAAACATTCCAGAAACTACACTACAGTGTTTTCAGTTTGTGTTTTCTAGGGCATATGTTTCCAAAACATGTTGTCTTTGTAGATAGACAGGTAGAAAACATTGTTTGTAAACCTCTAATCCTCCATTAAACTTAAGCACATTAGGTCATTACCTAATCCTGTGACTTGTGAAAGCTGTCTAATGGCAAACCAATAAAGTCTATGATTTAAAGGAAAAGAAATGTGGGGGAAGGGCTCTGTATACATTTCTTTCAATGTATAAAAACAACTCAATATCATGATCCGGTGAGATGATTAACATTGTTAAGGCTGTATATTCAAGCACTGTATGTTAAAAGAGCAATGGTGCGAAATTTAGGCAATAAGAAATGTCCTGCATTACGGATGGTACAGTAATTAAAGAATGATGCTTTCGACTGCTAGTTGTTGGTATACACTGGCTACTGATAGCAGTACAGCATGGATATTAATAAAAGTAGTAGAAGATGGCAGGAATGATTTCTGAAAGATGATAGCCAGTTTTCTCCAGCAGTCAGCCTGGTAAGTAAAAATCAGAGCTGTGACCTGAATTTAAATAAAATACTCTTTTTTCTCTTCAGCATTGACTTGACTGCCTTCAGCATTGATAATGGCTGTGTCAGCATCTGGTGCATCTTCAGCGCCTTTAGCTTCATTTGTTAAATATGTTCCTGTGAATAAGTGAAGAAAACGATGTTAGTTCTGGGAACCTTGAGAAGCAACCAGTGTTAAAGTTGCATGTGTTTAGAAGCAACTTTTATCTGAATTCTCACATGTTGGAATGTATTCTGAGAAGTAATAAACCACATAACTCAAAACTCTAAATTCTGCTTTTCCTTTTAGCTTTCGAGGAATGTACTTCAAGTGACACTATGACCCAGTTAATTAGAAACAGGAATGAAACTTAAAACTGAGCCTTGTCAATACTGTACAAATTAGACTACAGTAAAATAATCAGTTTCCTCACTACTAGGGGAACATGTATTTCCATAAACTTCCAAAAAATCCTCAATCAAATACTTATAGTTGGATTTTATTCCTACAGATACATTGCAACCTTTGTTCTATTTGTTGTTCTTATTCAGTTTTTAACTCAGAATTGGATTGGTGTAGTGAAGTAATGTCTAGTCAATAGCCAACGCTCCTAGGATGAATCAATGGCTCAGGTGAAAAAAAAAAAGAAAAATTGTAATTTATCTCTAGGATTGAAATCCAAGTATAAATAATTGGTGGATGATTTGGGTTTTCGGTCTATAGAAATATGTAATAAATAATTTTCAGTGGTAATGGTGGCATAAATTTCCTTTAAAATGGATTTAGGAAAATAAATATTAAACCATTTAAAATAAACATCAACTATTCTCTGTAATCATTGGTTCTAGGTCTCATCCTGTTTTCTTTCTGTATCCCCGCCTCACTCTCGAGATAAACATACACATCTGTAGATTTCTAAATGAAATTATTCTTGGAATGTTTTCACCAAAACTAAATGCTCTGTTCAACTATAACCTACCTTTATGTCTTGCCAGATAGCGACCAAGCAGGAATATGGAACACAGTGTGACGAACACAACCACAGCCACTATCCCTCCTATGAGAGCATGATCTGGGCCATTCTGGCCAGCCAGAGAATTGGGATCTAGAAGAGAGCAGAAAATACTGTGTGTTGGTCTATCAATTTCTCCTAAAATACATATCAGACACTAGAATTTGGAAAGAGCACCCTTCTAGTACAATGAAATTTCATTAATGTACAGTATGCCAATCATCCAGTCAACAAATACTTACTGTGTGCCTATATAATACAGAAGTTCTGAGAATATAAGATTGGACATATTAATAACTGTTATCATTTCTTTTATATTTTAAGGGCAAGATGGCAAGAACAAATACACATATACAATTTTTCAGTTACATGTTTGCTTGATCCGCATATTTGAAAGTACATGTGTATATATGTAGCATATAACTAAGTATGTGTTTACATATGATGTGAAAAATCCAAATGTACCACGTTTAAATAAGATTACATTAATTGAAAAGCTAGGGTTAACATCATAATTTTATATTTAGCATTATATCAAACATATTTAAAGCTCTGATGATTGATGAATACTTTAAAGGAATCTTAAGAGAAGGCTGGCAGTGAATTCTTTGGTAGGCCCACTTTTCAAGTCCTGGTAGATGTGTCACTTTCAGCAGAGCAGACCAAAGAGGAGATAAAAGAGAGATCTCTGAGTGGACACTACGTGATGAAGGGAATAATATATTTTGATGATAAGATTATACTGCTGTGAAATGTTGACAGAAAGAGAAAGATGAATTAGTATTTTCAAGTACTAAATGTTTGCTGAATTTGTAGTCCCAGAGAAAGTGGATGGAAAAAGATTATTAATAGCCATTTACATTCTGCCTTTAATAAGATATTATTAGAAAGAGACCAGCCCAGTAAAGGATGTAATGAGCAAAAGAAATTCTAAACATCTGGATACACAAAAGTTTAGAAAGATAGCTATTTTAGAAATTTACATAATAAGGAATAAAACTGAAGAAAACTTGAAGCAAGAAAATCATTAAGGCTCAGCCTATGGCAAAGATCAAATTAAGTATACCAGCCAAATCTCCCAGACCCTTTCTTGCCAAGAACCTTGTGTGGTTCACTTATACTTCAGAGCAGAACCCAGAGCAAGGGGAAATCAAGAAGTCAGTCATGGTTGGCACTGATGCTTTAAAAAACTTGAAAGGTGTCTATAGAAACATGTATCTGACAAATAGATTTAGGAGAATGATTTTAATGGAAGTGGTGTGTCTGTCAAAGAATCATATATAGACAGAAATAACAATCTGTGTTTGAAACCTCAAAAAATATATAGACCCTAAACCTTGTGAAAAGAAATGAAGTATAAAAGCAGTGTAGTCACAGTGGAGGTCATGTTACCCCGCATCTACTTCTGAGGTGGTCGTGGAACAGGACCTTTCAAGATGAAAGCAAAAAGGAATGGACAGAAGAGCACTTAGCTTCCTTGGGGAAACACTATTGTCAAAGCTGAAGGACATTTGTTTGTTTGTTTATTTGTTTGAGGCAATGATTTTCTGTAGCCCCAACTGGCCTTAAATTTGTTGTGTAGACCATGCTGGCTTCATTCTTACTGATAGCCTCCTGTCTCTGCTTCCAAGTTCTGGGATTAAAGGATTATGCCACCATACCTGGATGAAGGACCTTTTAACACTAGACTGACATGTTTTCATAACTTTTCCATTTCCCCCTATTTCCAAATTAGAGCAATGGTAAGTAAAGAGTGGATATTCTGGCTCTGCGCAGCCACTCTTGTGCATTCAGTAGAAAAGTGTATTCATGCATAACTTGTGTTGAGTTAATGCATCCACATATGATAAGATGCACATACTTCAGCTCCAGCTCACAGATGGGAACATAGCTCCAGCTCACAGGAGGGGACCACAACTCTGACCCATGGGAAGAGACCACATCTCCAGTTTTCAGACAGAGACCAGAGCTTCTGGCTCATGGGAGGGGACCACAACTCAGATTTCTCTGACTATATTCATCACAACCCACTCTCCTGATGCCCCAGGTTGTGAATGCCAGAGGTTTTGCCTGTTATGCTGGGAACAAGTGAGGCCTCTGTTATTTGAAGATTCTGGTCTTGGGAAAACTGATTCTCTGGAATGGACTTCCCACCTCCCCTGAGGGTCAATTGTGGTCTTCACTCCATGTGTGGTTCTGAGTATCTGGGCCTTAATGTTGGATCTCTCCAATTTCCAGGAACCAAGAGATTTTCCATTATTTTTCTATTGCTCTTCCACAGCCCCAGTATGCCTATACCCATGCCCTACTGAACTTCTGGAGATAAAAATCACATTCTGGGAAGTTAAAAATAAGAAACAGAAAGTACTGTATAACTAACCTAATATAATTCTTAAACTAAGAATATATAATTATATTTTAGAATATAAATTTGAATTCTTTTAAAAAATACTTTTATTCATTATTTTTATTTTTTGTGTATGCGTGTATTGTCTGCAATATGTGTAAGCACACCCATGTTGTGCAATACCTGTGGAGGACAGAAAAGGGTGTCAGATCCCCTGGAACTGGAGTTAAGGACTGTTGCTAGCTGCCACGTGAGTACTGGGATATGAACCTGAGTCTTCTTCAAGAACAGCCAGTGTTCTTAACTGCTGAACCGATGGTCCTTAACCACCTTTCCAGCCCCAAATTTGAATTCTTATGTCTACTATCATTTTTGATACTTTTTACTTATAAAATATACTATCAAGCTTCACCAATAATGTGAAATTTGTCACTATTCCTATGATGTGAATATGCTACTCGTGCCCTTTCCAAATTCTCCACCCACACAAAATCTTTCAATGGAATCTTAATACTTCTTAAAGAAAGCAATGCTAATAAAATATTTTTGAAATATAAATTCAAAAAAAGATGCACATCATTGCTAGTACACGGACAGGACTCTTATATTATATGACAAGCTCTTGGGACCCACTCATATCTTTCTATGACAATGGTGTCAGCATACAAAAGTCCAATGCAAACTCGGGAGACAAAACCCCAGCATAGAACTGGGGAACAGAACAGCATACTTCAATCTTAGCTGAGGAAACATTGGCAGATGATTACTGATGGGTGAGGAAGAGGTGATTTTCCTAAAACAAGAGACTCTAGATAAGCTGACTGGACCTCAGTGGATGGACTTGCACAGGAGAGTGTCTGGTGACACTGACTTGACACATTGAGCCTTAACACAAATGACAGAGTATATGGGTTCAAGTGTGGGAGCAATGGGAGCATGCCGGTGAGGACAGGGCTACGAAGACAAGTAAGAGAGTTTGAGATATTTTGCATAAAATGCACAAAAATTCAACAAAATGAAATTAAAATATTTAACATAAAGAAAAGATTCACATACTCGAGGATCCTAGACTCTGAATAGGATATATTAGCTTTGGGGATTTTGGGTTGTTTCTTTGGACAAATAGTCTTTATAAGGAAACAAAAGTAAAAAGGGTCAGTTATAAGAAGGCCATCCTGGGCAGAATTCTTATAACAAAATTGTTTTCTCTACTTTTAATGCACAGAGCTAAATGTTTTCCAGACTCCCCTGAAGTTGATGTGATCATGTAATTCGTGTTTTAAATGATGAATTAAAGCCCAGACAATAGAAAATAGAAGTTGTTCAAAAGCAATGTACGCACATGAATTAGGGAGGTATACATTTAAGATAAGAAAGCCACAGGCATAAATAAACCTACGGGTCCTTTCTACATGGGAAAAAGCAACCAAAGAGTACCTTAAAAGTGCTCAAACACCCCCCCCTCTCTCTCTCTCGGGAGAGAGAGAGAGAGACTCAAAAACCTCAATTTCAAAACAATAAGCATCTTGAGTATCCATATATTTATAGCAATGACCATTAATCTCAAAAGAAAAAAATACAGGAATAAAAGAAGTGAAGAAAGAATAAAAGAAATGATTTCTTCTTTGTCTACTCTGATGTCAAAGTTCACAAGTTTGCATTTTATATTTCATTGATAGAAGTTTTAAGTTTGGAAGTTTTCTCATTGATTCATTTTACTATTTCTATCTCTGTTGACTATTTTGATCACATCATGAATTATTTTTCACACTTTTGTATTTTGTCTCACCCTTTTCTCTTGTATTTCATTGATTTCCTTCAGTTTTAAAACTTTGATCTATTTCTTGAGAATTGTTGAATCCCCTTTGCAGTTTCATTCATCTTCTTGATGCGTTTCTTATGTGCCTCTTAATATTCATGTATCTTGTATTAGTTGTTGATTCATCCTATTTTGTGGAATAAGTTTTAAAGGAGAATACCTATTTTTTTCATTTATATGAGTTGTGAAGTGTCTGCTGGCTAAGTGATTGGCATTGATTACAGGTGAGCTCAAAATGAGGCGCCCCCATCATTTCTTTAGTTACAATTCATGTTGGCAAAGATTTTCTTTATTTTGTTTTCTTTTATTTTGATTTTCTGTTTTAATAGTTTCCTTTATAAAGAGTCATAATCTTTAAAGAATTTCTTTTTAGCTATCTTTCATGTGTGGTCTTCTCAATGATATACATCTTACAAATTTATGTAATCAAGTATATCAAATTTTTCATCATGACACAGCTTATGGGTAATGATGTGAAATATACCATAATAAGAGTATATGCATGGAGGGCTATATTATCATCTTCAAATTTATTTACAGAAATCGCAGACATAACATGTAATTTGTGCTAATTTTTTCATAGCTTTTGTTTTTTAAAAATTTTTATTGAGTTTTTGTGTATTTCATACAGAAAATCATCTTTATACCCATTCCCCTTTGGTCCCTCACTGGAGTTCATAATTCTGTCATGTGTGTTAAAGCCTATCATGTAAAGTTAGTGTCTCCAGATGTTCTGTTGTTTGCCACAGTTCTGTGCTAGGTTTTTGTCTTCTTAAGTTTGCACTGGTCTTGTGCATGCTGACACCATTGCTGTAGGGTTGTATAAGAAGGATCCCAGGCACATGTCGGACTATTTCTGTATGATCATGTACCTCCTCCCTGGCTCTTACATTCTTTCCGGTCCCTATTCTGCAACAGTCCCTTAAG